ACGGCTGGGGGCGCCGTCTGACCCCGGCGAGGAGCGCAGGCGCCCAACTCCCACTCTCGGCCGCCCGGCCCGCGTCCGCTGGCGCGCAGCCCGCAAGACTCGCGGAGGGAACTCGCCGAAGTTTGCCAAGCCCGGCCGCAGTCTCGGGGAAGCGGCAGCTCCCTCCCGAGCGCCTCTCCGCGCGCCTGGGGACGCGATGTGACAAGGCGGTGATCGCGGGAGCAGGAGGGTAAAGGGGCGCCGCGCCCCGGCACCTGTCTGCACCTCCCGTCCGCCCCCCGCGCGGCAGAGGACTGACAGCGCCCGACGCGGACAGACCCCCAGGGCAGGGCGCGCGGCTCCCGCAGCCTCGCGTCTTTAGAGGAAGGGGCTGTGCACTCACCTGCGCGGTGGAGGAGGAGGTGAGGGAGGCGGTCCTTGGCGTGGGCAGCCCCCGGCAGGAGAGGCACGGTCGCTACAGCCCCTGGGCAGCGGCAGCGAGTGAGCCGGCCGGCCGCCGCCCCCTCCGTTCTTATTCGGCCTGGCCACGCCTCCGCGCACCGCCCCCGCCCCCGCCCCCGCCCCGAGGCCGGCCCTCCCGAGGGAGCCAAAGCGGGGCGGAGCCGGCCCGGCCCCTTGGGATCCTCCTGCCGGGGCGCTGAGGGAGACGCAGGGCGAACGGAGTCCTCTGATTGGCTCTTCGGGTGAATGGTTGCCAGGAGACGAGTAAATCCTCCGAGTGAAGGGGCGGGGGTGCCGAAGCCGGTAGCACTGCGCAGGCGCAATAGAGAGGGGCTGTGTCGACGCAGCCTTTTCACTCCGGAGTCCCTCGGACACCTTCCTTTCTACTTTCTTCTACATTCTCTTCTGCAGAACTTATCCTATAACTTTTTCCTATCCCGGCTTTCCCCATCTCTGTCCTGCTCTCTCGAAGGCCATTTGTCTTTGGCTGCTCTAGGGTATTTTCCAGCTGGTTCTCGGTAGGTCCAATTTTGAAGGCGGAAAAAGGCAAGGTTTCTGGGTTCTGGGAACCTTTCTGATTACCCAAGGGAATTGGCTGAAGGTGAAGACGTGGTCGTGGGGAAAGGGCGCAGTTGGTTGGCTGGCCGCAGCGACCACCTGTGTGCAGTTAGTGGGACTGCGGACCGCAGGGAATCCATCACCCATCTTGGGAACCGCTACTGCTTTAGCCTACTCCGGATACCACAGGACTTAGTCGTGTAAGTTATGTAACATGCAGGCGGGGCCTGGACACAGTTCCTTCCCAGTAAGTTGTCGAACGTCAGGTTCTAAGTTCAGACTAATTTGACAATTCCATTAATTATCGATAAGGGCGTGGATAAATAATTTAACCAACCTTTCGTAAACAGCCATATTCTATCTGGGACAATTTGTAGGCTTATATAAGTATTTAAAAATACTTGGAAAGGCATTAATTAATCCAGTACTTTATATAAAGTGATAAATACTATTTATAGATAATAGTAGCCAATTGTTATTTATAAATAAACCTTTTTTGAACTTGTTTGATCCTCTACTAGTTGCTGGGGAAAAATATTACTTTTGGAATGTACTGTTTCTCCCTTCCCCCCTTTCATTCCTGCCTGAAATAAGTGTACTCTCAGTATCTGCCAAGCTATGAAAAGTTCTCGCACATATGCCCTCCCTGGCGAGGGGGAGGGGAGTTTCCAGGAACTTGAACGGGAGAGGATATCAGCATGAGGCCATGTAGGAAAAGCCACAGTAACTTATTGTTGGACACAAGATTAAGACGTATTATCTGACTTTTTAATTTTTACTTTTAGTTTTTTTAGGTATCACATTCAATAAAGTACACAAATCTAAAGTGTATCTATTGATTAATTTTCCATATGCATATATCCATCTGACTGCCAGCTAGAACAAGATACAGAACATCTACTGCAGCTTATTCACACGCTTTCCCACACAGCATCTCGCATAGATAGCCACTGTTCTAAACTCTTATCTCCAGGCGTTAGGCTTAGCAGTGTTTAAACCTAATACAGAGGAAACGCTTTCATATTTTCTGTCTTTTGGGCTCAAAAGTGTGTCTGTGAGATTCATACACGTGTGCAACAAGTTTTCCACTACTGTGTATTCATTTTGTAGTCAACATTTTATGTACTCATTCAGCTGTTGGTGGACACTTGAATATGTTTCAGGTTTTTGCCTTTCATGAATGAAGCTTCTGGAAGCATTCTTACACATCTCTTGGTAAACACAGTATTCACTGATGTGAGGATTTGCAACCAGTGTTGGGATCCCTGGCTCTCTGAGTGTATGCATATTAAACTTTAAATGTACTGCCGGCTGACCAAAGTGGTAGAACAATGACAGCAAAGTAAAGAAATAAAGAAAAAAGATTTTTAAAATTGAAAAAATTTAACAAACAAAAAAAATTTAAAAGGAGGGAATAACAAAGGCTGTAACAATTTATGTGCCAAATAATGTGAGATTTCTGGTGGTTCTACATCTTTACCACTATTGATATCGTCTGCTTTTTAATTTAAAAATGGGATGTGTATTTCACCATGATTTAGAGTTTCAATTCTCTGATGATCAATTATGTTAAGCAACTTTTCAGATGCTTATTAGCCATTCAGGTCCCTTCTAGCAAAGTATATGTGCCAGTCTTTTGCCCGTTTGTGGGGAGTTGTCTATCTTAATGATATGACTGCTGTACATGTTCTGGATATGAGTCCTTTGATTCATATATGTATTACAAATATCTTCTGATCTGTGGCTTACTGTTTCATTATTTTAAATTTATCATTTGATGAACAGAAATTCCTAATTTTAAAACAGTCCATTTCATTGATTTTATCTTTAATGACTAGCATTTTTAATGTCCTTTTTTTAATGTCCTTTTAAGAAATCTGTTTATTCTAAGACCATAGATAATCTCCTTTGTTTTTTTCTAAGTCTAGATGGCTTTAACTTTCACTACCTGTGAAGCCTTGGGCAAGTAATTTAACCATCCTTTTATAAGCCTCCAATCGCAGTGAAACTAATGCAAATTATTACACTGGTCTTTGGATGGTGTCTGCTCTTTTGAAGCCTCATGGTGGTAGCTTCAAGATAGAACACAGGGCAAAGATTGTCAGCCTGAAATTTGATCTACTATATTGTAGTTCTGTCTTTTCTTAGGTGAAGTTTTGTTCAACTACCTGATCAAAATT